TAAAAGGGTTTCAGCATTAGCTCCTCACATCTGTGATATTCGGTGTGGACAAGAAATTACCTGCCAAAGCTATAACTACAACAGGAAGGAGAAGATCTGCGAATTGAACAACCGCACCAAAGAGGCGAGGCCTGAAAGTTTTCGCTCGGCCCCTGGTTGGTTTCATATCCGGCGTTTAAACGGAAGGGGTATGTTTTAAGTTCAAGAATGTTGACTAAGAAAGATTTACTCATAAAGTATATTTTATAGCGCAGTATGTAGTTGCTGATGCAGTGAGAAGGCCCAACTCGTTCGCACGTTATGACTGAGAGCAAAGTGTTTTCGGGTCCGGCACGACCGAATTCAGACAAGGAGCGTTTTATCCTAAGACTATCGATCTTCTTCTGGCTGACAATTTTACCATATTACATCACGCCGGACCGTAAGCCAGCTCATGCAAGTTTTTCCAGCTCTGTTCTCATGATCGCGTACAGCCCTCACGAGGAATGTTTTGGGAAGACTATCACGCATGGGTTCGAATTCTAACCTCAAGATGTTGTTTTTATTTTTAAATCGTGTTTTGCTTTAAAGTTTCTGTGTTTTCACGGTGTCGCCGTGAGCAACCCTGACAGGTGCTTCTTTAGGACATTTACAGCTTTTTTTAACAAATTTCATTTTCAAGAAAAATGTTGAGTTAGGTTTTTCCGATAAACTTATCTTGCTGCTTCTGTGTTTTAACACATTTGAAAAAAATGTTAGTTCTGATGCTTATCTAAGAGAAATGAAAGTGGGAAAAAAAAGGTTGAATTGTGAAAGCGTCAATTTATTCATAAATGATATTTACCTTTGATGTTTTCATATTTAATAGTATTTTTAACATGCTTTAATAACCGTTTTACCCTTCGCTTTCAGAGGAAGGTAAGAAAAATTCGAATGAAATACTCCACCACATTTCAGTGAGTTAGATACATTTATGCACATAGAGGAAGATGTTTTTCGTCTTGTCACGAGCGTGGGACAAAGAGGAAATTACCTACTATCTCTCTTATTCTATTTACAAAAACAGGACGCTGTCGATATTCTAGCAGTATGCTGGACGTGCGTTATGTATGAAATTCGTAATGGGCCTCGCTCACCTTAGAGTCTCTGAGGCTCAGTGGTACATCGAAGCGCGGAAACCGAAGGTCTGAGTTTCGATTCCTCATGGGAACTCAGAACTTTTTATTAGTCCCACGCTCGTGACAATATGAAAAACATCTTTCTCTATTTCTACCGAGCTCAAAACTTACCATCTCTCTCATAATGTAAACAATTTAGTCCCATCCGGACCTTTTCCGAAAAAAAATTTTTGCAAATTATCTAAGTAGTTATCCCACGAATTCATTTTGCAATCTATTATGTATTGCAGCACCTCTGGGTTCCATTATGGAATTACCAGCAATGTCTTGCCAAGAAATAAAGGCAAGTGAGGGAAAAGATTCCACTAGCAACAAGTACTGGCTGAATCCAACTGGTAATGGAAAGACAGAGTTGATGTTTTGCGATATGAACTTTGGGACTGGAGGTTAGCTTATTTCATTTTATCTCAACCTATACCTGACATTTTTTTTTTTTTTTAGTTTTTTGTTTTTTTCTCTTAATTTCTATTTCATCTATTCTTTCATTATTTACCATTTATCTCCTAGACATCGATGAATGTAAGAGTGATATCTTGCGCTGTGACGTGAATGCAAACTGTTCAAACACTTATGGCTCGTATAAATGCACATGTAAGGAGGGATACAATGGAACTGGACATGTATGTACAGGTATGATGAACTTACTTCGTTTTAACCCCTGCTTACGGTTAGGAACTGGCATTTTGTCAGTCGAATCCGAAACTTTTCTTGGTTGCTTCCCCATTTTGTATTTCCTGAAAAGCTTTTCTTCCAAAGATTGAGCTGAGTATCTATCGTGGTCAGAGATACCAAATTCGTCATTATTTCATTTCATTTGTCCTCGTCGCTTTCTCTGCTCTTCGGACAATGTCAACCTTGTCTCTCTTTTAACTTCCCACCGTCTATTTATGGTCTGTTGTGACCTTTCATCTCAGCCGTTAAGCCCGCCGATCAAAAATTTATTTGTGGTTGGTAAGAATATCTGTCGGGCATCGGCTGCGGGGCTCTTTCCAATACTACTCTCACACAAACCTTTGCTCACCTAATTGGATAGCACACTTTTCTTGGGACTTGAGTCTTGTGATGTCCGAGGGAGTTCTATTCTCCATAAGAGTGGATATCATCAACGAACGGGGTCTAAT